CTCAACAGCATCTTTACAGAAAGAGTCAATAGAATTAATTCACTGACTGAGATACCCGTCATTCCAAATACTACATGATATAAGGTTAAATTGTTTGATGCTTACTTGCCTTTATGCCCCAAAAATCTGGTGGTCAATAATAAAAAATATTGATGAAGCCAAAAGATGTTCTTTGAAAAGATCTATAAAATTGATAAACTTCTAGCTAGACTGACTAGAGGGAGGGAGGAAAGGAGGGAGACAGAGAGGAAGAAAAATTACTAATAATTAGAAATGAAAAAGATTATATCATTAAATAACTTCATGGAAGTAATCCATAATAAACATACCTTAGAGTCATTCTAGACTGTTTGCAAGAGAAACGAAAGCTTAGATCTATACACACACTATACACAACTCTTCATAGCAACTATGAAGAGTTGTGCAGTAGCCAAAATCATGGAAGAACCCAGTGTCTACCAACAGGGGAATGAATAAATTGTGGTCTAGCAATACAGTGGAATACTAGTTGCAATAAGAAAAAGAATGAACTGATAACCAAGACTATAGATTGATCTCAAATAAATTATGCTTAGTGAAATAAGGCAGACAGGAAAGAATACATAGTCATTATTCCATCCATATAAAGCCCTGCTGCATGCAAACTTATCTGGTGACAAAAAGCAAATCAGTGGTTGCTTGGGAAGTTTTCAAAATTCTATTTTGGGGCATATTCAGTATAAGAATAGTCAAGTAAGAACTTATGAAGCAGGTAGTTTCTACAGAGAATAGTCATTGAGAAAAATGTTGACATATCTTTGGAACTTTCTGTGGACTGGGTCAGTAGAGGAATCCTGAACCTTTCTTTGGTTGGAAACAGTAGGCCTTGGGTCAGGCCTGTGACTACTGATGGTTTTTTCCAGGGTTTGTTCAAGCAATTTGTCCTTGGAGCCCACCCCATCTGAACACACTGCGAATTTCTCTTCCCCAAGACTTTCAGGTAGTAGAGAACCAGGTCCCATCCTCAGATGGCCTTCTCCCTTCACTGTCTGGCTCCCCCTGCCACAGTTACCATGTGGGCACTGGTTCCAAACCAGTAGTAGGCTTTGAATAGCATCTAAGGACAGGTTATGAAGAAGTTTGAGATCTTAACACTGCTTGAGAATGAAAAAGAAACCAGAAGGACCCACTGGTAGGGTGCTTGCTAAGTATGGTTAGGGCCCTTGGATTCAGTCTCTAATACAACCCAAATAAAGGGACCCAAGCACTAGAAATCTGCTCCAAGGGAAGAGTCTAACCCAGGGCCACCTCTGTTGAAGATGTCAGCAGTGTTACTAAACTAAATCTAGTGTTACTAAATCTAATTATCACTTAAACTTTCTCCTTTTTTGAGACAAAGTCTCACTATGCATCCTTAGAACTCTCACTGTGTAGACCAGGCTGGCCTCCAAATCAGAGATCAGCTTACCTCTGCCTCCAAGTTGAAATAAAGGCATGCACCACCACAATGAGCCAGATAAACTTTTTCTTTTTTTCTTTGTCTTTGAGACAGGGTCTCCCTGAAGCCCCAGTTGTTCTGGAACTCACTGTGTAGACCAGGCTGGCCTCAAACTCACAGAGATCAGCCTGCCTCTGCCTCCCAAGTGCTGGGAATAAAGGCATGTACCACCATGCCTGGCAGATAAACTTATTTTTATACATAGTGATAACATTATAAAAGAATGTTGTTGTCCCAGCACTTGGGCAGCAGAGGCAGGTGGATCTGTGTGAGTTTGAGGCCAGCCTGGTCTCCTTAGTGAATCCAGGCCAGCTGTGAGACCCTGTCTCAAAAAGACCAAAAAAAAAAAAAAAAAAAGGAATGCTGTCAAATTGACTTAAATTTTATTTAATTATAACTATAAACTGCCCAAGTATTCTTAGTCTATATAGTTAGTTGCTCAGGTACCATGGGCACAGAATATCCATGGGATCTAGCTCCTTCCTTTTTTAAATTTTTTAAAATATTATTTTATGTGTATGAATGTATTGCCTGCATGTATGTAAATGCACCCATATCAAACAGTGCCCACAGAGGTCAGAAGAAGACATAAGAGCCCGTGGAACTGCAGTTATTGATGGTTGTTAGCCTCCATGTGGGTCCTGGGAAATAAACCCAGGTCATCTGCAAGAGCAGTAAGTGCTTTTGAACCGCTGAGCCATCTCTTCAGCACTTTTCTAATTTTTTAAGATATATTTTATATGTACGAATGTTTGCCTGCATGTATATATATGTACCACTGTGTGCCAGAAGAGCATGTTAGATACCTTGGAGTACAGATGGTTGTGAACTGCCATGTGGTGCTGGGAACTGAACTTGGGTCCTCCAGGAGCAGCAAGTGCTCTTAACTGATGAACAATCTCTCCAGCCCCTAGTTCCTTCATTCCCACTAATGAGAAAATTCGTACTTGATACAAATACTTACTGTTCTAAAACCTCAGAGAATGCCACATCTGTTCAGAACATGACAGTACCACAGTATACAGACCTCTTTATGCTTCAAACTCTTTTAAAAGCACCTATTTTATTTTGTATTACTTATAAGCTAAATTTTTAGTTCAGTGAAAAAGCTAATAAGAAAATTATGAATGTATGTTAAGGGGGGGATCTTATCACAGGAAATTGAGTTTCTAACCAGATAATAAACTTTTTTTTTCTTTTTTGGTCTTTTTGAGACAGGGACAGAGACCCTGTCTCAAAAAGACCAAAAAAAAATTGGTTTATTAGAATCAATCAACATATTACACATGTGCCTGCTTACTTCAGCTGAAAAGTCTGTACAAATTAAACATGTGCTGGGCATGGTGTCATGAGCCTTTAATCCCAGCACTCAGGAGGCAGAGGCAGGCAGATTACTGTGAGATCAGGACAGCCTTGCCTATATAACAAATTTCAGGCCAGGTGTAGCTACAGGGAGACCCCATCTTTTAAAAAAAAAAGATGCCAGGTGTGGTGGCGCACACCTTTATTCCCAGCACTTGGGAAGCAGAGGCAGGCGGATCTCTGTGAGTTCAAGGCCAGCCTGGTCTACATAGTGAGTTCCAGGACAGCTGGGGCTACAGGGAGACCCTGTCTCAAAAAAGACCAAAAAAAAAAAAGAAAAACATGGATAAGAAAACTTGTGTCTGTGTGTGTTCGTGTTCGTGTTCAGGTACACTCATCCATTGCTTCTCCATCTTATTTTTTCAAGACAGGTTGTCTCACTCAACCTAGAGCTCACCATTTCATCCAGGCTGGCTGGCCTCTGAGTCTAGGGAGTCCACTGTCTTTGTCCCTCTCTCCCCGCCCAAGTGTTGAGCTTACAAAATGAGCACACACACCCCCCATGCCCAGCTTTTCATGTGGGTGCTGTGGCTCCAAACTCAGGTCCTCATGCTTGCACTGCAGTGCCTTACCCACTGAGCCATCTCTCCAGCCCCAAAAGCTGACTTTAGATTAGCTGCCTATACTACTCATTTGAAACAGCTTTTAAGCAAATACAACATGACTAAAACTTATCTGAACGAAGCAAAATTCTGTGGCTAGTCATGAGACTGAGCAATACAGGGGTGAGATTGCCTGGTAGATTGGGGAGTATATCACAAGGTCATTAGCCTACTTTCTGCCAGTGTAAGATAGTTCCAGAGTCTGCATACAGCTTGTCTAAAGTATGCGATAAACACAGAGAACATTGACTTCCCAGCTTTGCTTTGTGGTCTTCCTCCCCTATCATCCCTTCATTCTTATTCCTGCCTCCAGTAATCTTAGTGAATAATTGATGAAAAATAAGGAGAAAGCTGGATGTAATGGCTCAGCACTTGAAAAGTTGAGACAGGAAGATCCACACAAGTTCCAGCCCAGCCTGGGCTACATAGTGAATTCCATTAAGTTCCCATCTCAGAACACAAAGAAGAAAAAGTTAAAAGGCACACATTCCTCCCCTTTGGCATTTTTTAAAATTATTTTTATTTTATGTATATGAGTATATTGGCTAAATGTAGATAGGTTCACCCATGTTGTGCAATGCCCCTGGAGGTCAAAAGAGGGTATCAGATCCCCTGGAACTGGAGTTGAGTTAAATTGTTAGTTGCCATGTGGGTGCTGGGCATTGAACCCCAGTCCTCTGGAAGAGCAGCCAGTGCTTTTTTTAGTCGCTGAGCCATCTCTCCGGCCCTACCCCACTCCTCTTTTTGGCATTTGAAGGGATTTTTTTTTCTTTTTCTTTTTGGAGACAATGTTTCATGTAAGCAAGGCAGAACTTGAACTCCTGATCCCTCCTGCCTCCACCTTCCAATTGCTAGGATTATAGGCTTACGCCACGGAGCCTAACAGAAAGGATCTTTACTTACAGCCCCATCCCTCCTTATTTTCAAGGCTGTTCCTGGTATGTGAGCCCTGAACTTACCCGTTCTTGCTTTCCTAAGGCATTGTTCTTTTATTTATTAGCTCTTTCTAGAATTTGTTCTCTTCCTTTTGGCTCCTTCTGAATTGGCTTCAGACATGCCTACATTTCTTTTGCTCAGAAAATGTCTTGCCGTCCCTATAAGCCCCCATCTCTTTTCCCTGATTCCTTCATTGCCAAACTTTTTCACAGTAATACACCAGAATCAAGAGCTAAAACTTAGGTTGATTTATGGCTTTCAAATTCTTTGCACAGTGTAATGTAGTGAATGCAGTGAAACAACCCAGGATCCAAATATAGACCCAGCAGTTACTGTTGAGTGACATTCCTGACCCTGAGCCTCCTCTCATGTAAATTGAGAGTAATAAGGCCTATCTTGTAGTGTAAACATTAAATAAGATACTTACAAAAGCCCCTAATCTAATGTCTGGCATATAGTAGGTGCTCAGAAAATCTGATTCCTTTCCCATCTCTACAGTCATGGTGGATTTGTGGGATGAATGAGCGGAAGACCTCCTGCATATTTCAAGTAAGCGTTCAGTAGCAGGGCTTTAAGGTTTTGTTCTGTTTGTGTCTTAGTCTTTCTTTGCTTGTATATTCCAGGTTCACAGCCAATATCCGACTGAGTTTGAATTCAATCTCTACTACCTAAAATTCTTGGCCTTCCATTATGTGTCTAATCGCTTTAAAACATTTCTCCTGGATTCAGACTATGAAAGATTAGAGCATGGTATGTGTTTATATGCCTTTGTTCCATCTTTGCTAGTTTTATATTTTTCAATGGAAAGTTCATTGAGCTGACTACTCCCAAGTAAGACAAGCTAGAGTAGATCCAGTAACTGCCCAGGCCTAGAATTTCATGTGCTCTTGGGTCTTAGGACAGCAAGTGCTCCTTTTCTTCCCACCATTGTAAAGTTAAACCTGCTTAACTGTTTAACACCTCCAACTGATAGTATGTTAGAAGTGTTTAACTCATAGGCTTTCCCTTCCTCGTGTGCTCTGATAGGAAGAGCACTTGCCTTGGAGACAGTTGAATGGCAGCTAATGCAATAGTCTCCAGAGCAAACAAACACCAAGGTTCAGTTCTAGCACTGCCACTTACCAGCTGTGCTCTAAGGAAGTTCAGAGCCTCTTCAGGCCTCAGCCTCTTCATCTGTAAAATAAGGGTGGTAATGTACCCCTAGGGCCATGATTACCACAGGAGGTGTTGAATTGCTTAGAGCAGTTGCTAGCACCTAGTAAGCACTTGAGAAATGTTAGGCATCACTATCATTATTACTCATTTTGATAGCTGTAGAAGTATAATGTGAAACATTTCCCAAGGGAAATTTATTTTCTTTTGTCATTAGTATGGAGAGATGGCTCAGTAATTAAGAGCACTCACTACTTTTGCAGAGGACATGGGTTTGAGTTCCAGCACCCATTATGGCAGCTAACACATGTCCATAATTCTAGTTCTGTGGGATCCGATGCCCTCTTCTGACCTCCTTGGGCATTGCATGACACAGATGCACTTACATGCATGCAGGCAATACATTCATACACATGAAACAGCTTTTGCTGGGAAATGTGGCTTAGTTGGTAGAGTGTGCTTGCCTAACATGCACAAAGCCCTGGCTTTGGTCCCCTACATCACAAAATCCAAACATGGTCCTGCACATCTGTAACTTTAGCACTCAGGAGGTGGGGGAAAGAAATTTTCAAAACCCAGGCGTTCTCAGTACATCATACAGAACAGTATCTATCCATAAAGAGGACCCCTCATAACAAGAGATCTACCAGTGATCTGTTTAAAAATCTGAAGAAGCGCTGCTTTCTCAGTCATCCTGGAAATTGTGTACTATGATACTTCATTCTAGGTAAGGGAAAGAACACCAGCCAGACAGTTTCTTATCTTTATTCTTTAGGTTTTCGTTGAGCATGGAATTGTCATTCCTCACATTACAATCAGAAACATAATTTCTTAAGCAGCAATGATAGGAAGGTAGTGAGTGGAGCTGGTGACAGTGGTTTAGAGCACTGGCTGCTCTTGCAGGGGAACCAGGTTCAATTCCTAGCATCCACATGGTAGCTAATGACACTATAACTCCAGTTCCAGGGGATCTGATACCCTCTTCTGATCTCCTTGGGCATTGCACAACACAGGTGCACTTACAGACAGACAAACAATCCACTCATATACACAAAATAAATTTATTTTTTTTAAAAGAAGAAAAATGGGACTGGAAAGATGGCTCAGCGGTTAAGAACACTGGTTGTTTTTGCAGAAGACCTGGGTTTGAATCCCAGCACCACATGGCAGCTCACAAATGTCTGTTAACTCCAGTCCCAGGGGATTCAACAGCTTCTTCTGTCCTCCACGGGCATTGCACAACACAGGTGCACTTAC